AAAAATAAGATTAAAATTGCTCATAATCCCATCACCTGGAATGACCACCGTTAATATTTTGATGTGCATAAGCTACCAATCCTTTTATGTACACATACATTTTCTTTCTAAAAATGGAATCATATTATAATACTGTTTTGTAACCTACCTTTTAAAATATAAAAATAATTTTATGATGTCTGTAAAATATTTTCATAACTGTCTATATATACAAATTCCACTGACTGGATATAAAACAATTTATTTTCCGGTCATTAAAAATTTAGTTTCCAGTTTTCTATTATTAAAAATAATACATCAACAAACATCCCTGTAAAAAAGATTTCTTGGCAATTTCTTTTGAATAAATTCCTAAGTCGGTGAATGAGAAATGTATGGCTTTTGGTATATACTGGCATATTTTCCTCTTGTTGTATGGATTTACACAAAGAATAAATTAAACTTTTCTGTGGAATGTGTAAGTAAAAGCAATACTTCCAAGATAAGCAACATTTTAAGCTCGCATTAAAAATTCCTGGCACAAATATTAGTTAGGAAAGGCAATGTTTTTTAAAAGTACACATATTCTATAAACCCTGCAAGTGATTTAGGCAGTAATACCAAGTGCCTTAAAAATATGCATTCTCTCTGTGCAATAACTCCACACTTGGGACACTAACCTAAGGAAATCATATCAACAAAGATTTATGTACAAAGATATTCACTGCAACCTTGTTTATAATAACAAAAAAATTTAAACAAACTAAATGTCCAACAAGAGGGCTTATGAAAGTAAATTATAATATAACCACAAAACAGACTATTTTGCAGCCGTTAGGAATGGTTGTTTACAAAGAGTTTTTAAAGACACAAGAAAATGCTAATGGTTTTAATGCTAAACAGAAAATGAAAAGCTGGATACAAAATTGTATATAAACTGTATGTTCTGAACCATGTTAAAATCTATGTAGTTAAAAAATAACAAAAGGAGGAAGAAATATTACAAAATGTTAAGAGTTGCTGCTTCTGGGATGTGCGATTATGTGGTGAATTTTCCCCGTTCAAAAAAAAAACACTCTTCTGTACTCTCCCAAATTTCCTACAATGAGTTTATATTACTTTGATAATCAGGAACAAAGTAAAAAAATAAATTTTTAAAAACTGTTTGATGAAGCAACAATCAGCCGCTGCCTTATTTAAAAGAAAAAAAAAAAAAAAAAAACCCTAGAAACTCAGATCGGTGTCTTCTATTGGAGAAAAATAAAAAAAAAAAACAAAAAAAATCAAGTGTATACTAGGCTGTCTCTTGAAAATTTTCTTACTCAAACTCTTAAGTGGATGACTGTAAATAAAGTTATTAACAATAATAGTAAGAACTAACATTTAAACAATAATATTTTAAATAATAAAGATTATTGCACTGGAAAGATATCCATGGAATATCATGTAATATGATAGTATAATTTTTCTTTTCTAATATTACATATATGCATAGACAGATAACTGGAAGGTTGTGTACTAAAATTTTAATAGTGGTTACCTCTGGGTGGTGAGATTTCAAGCAGTTAGTAGTTTATTCATTTTTAAAAAAATTTACAATAGACATGTATTAGCTTCATATCAGAAAAAATAATAAAGCTATTTTCATTTTGAAAAATAATAATAAACAGTAAGAAGCATTAAAGAAAAAAAACCTAATCTGAAGAGGATGGTGAAAAGCCAGTGCTAAGGAGTGAAGGCATCCAGCAAGGTCTTTTCAAGAGTTTTATCAAGAAGGCAGTTTATGCAGGGGTCCTCTGGCTTATCTGATCATTCTTCCTCTTTCAAGGATCAGTGGGCTCTGGTCCCTGAGGCAGACAGCCTACCTTGTTGAATGAAGACTCTGGCAGGCCCTGGAGGTCCACAGGCTTACCATCCAGAAGCAAGGCAAAGGCAAAGTGGCAACTGCAGAGATGGAATATCCTGGGAGGCAAAAAAGGAGCTGGCCCAGGTGGGGCTCAGAAAAGGTCAGCATAGTCTATGAACCTCTTCTTTTAGATAATACAGGGAAGGTAGAGAGCAGAAAGAAGACAAGAAAGGAGCTTTGAGAATCTAGGTGCCAGGCACTCTAAGGGTACTTTCTAGCATCTGCAGGGTAACCCTTCAAGGTAGGAATTATCAACTCCTTTTTACAGAAGAACAGACTCTAAGGAGTCAAGTAACTTTCCCAAGGTCACAGTACACTGGGAATCAAATACAGAACAACCTCTTTCTAACTCAGGTGTAAACTGTGAAGTTTCTGGGTCATTACCTTCCATGTCTGCTTTTAAAGAATCATCTGGAGAGCTTTTTAAAAATACACATTCCTGGGCAGACCTACTGAATCACAAAATGCAGGAGCAGGGCCCAGGAAGCTATCTAAAATTCTCCCCTAGGTGATTGTGCCGGTCAGGAGAAGGGGAGCAGCTAGTCAACTACAGTCTCCTCCGGGTGTTCCCCCTAACACTGCTCCTTGCCTTCCACTTCTTCCTTCTCATTCCCCTTCCTGCCCACACCGCCATTCGATCTTTCCAAAATAATGCTGAGAGCTTTGGGCAAGTCCTCTACATTGTGCTAAACATTACAAATTCTATTAAGCAGGAGCCCTGGTGACACAATGGTTAAGCACTCGGCTGTTAATCAAAGGTTAGCAGTTCAAACCCACCCAGTGGTTCTGCGAGAGAAAGACCTGGCAATCTGCTTCAGTAAAGATTACAGCCTAGAAAACCCTATGGGGCAGTTTTACTCTGTCAAACGCTAAGAGTTGAAAATCGACTGACAGCACACAACACACATGTACAAATACTGGTAAATCCATCCTCCTGTCTTAATTCCCACTGTAGTGCTCAGGCTGAGATAATCATTTCCTGGTTGGACTTCTGCAACAGCTTCCCTGGGCTCTTTGCCTCCAGTCTTGCCCCCTGCAATCTGTTTTCTACCCTGGCCATCACAGTCATCTTTCATAAACACAGGTCTGATCTCTCACTCCTCTGGAAAAATCTTTCAAGGGAGTTACTGTATCAGAATCAGCTAGGGAGCCTTTTAAAAATATAGATTCTTGGGCCCCATCCTGGATTCAGTGACTCAATCTCTGGGAATAGGACCTCAAATATTTCTATAAGCTCCTCAGGTGATCATAACACTGTGCTGGATTATTGTTCAGTACATATTCATTCCCTCCCCTAGACCTCCATGAACATATACTTCCCTGTCTCGGTGATACTGGGCTTGATCAACATGACTTGGTTTGGCCAATGGGATGTTAACAGCTATGACACAAGCAGGCACTTAAAAATGTGCTTGAGTGGTTGGGTTTACTCTCTTGGCATCTGCTATTGCCATGAAAAGATGCCCTGGAAAGCTTGCTGACTCTGGAATATTGAGAGATATGTACAGCAGACTTGAACCCAATCCAAGATCTGCAGCCAAACCCAGTAAGCCCAGCCTAGAACAGCTAAACCCCAGCTGACCCATGTAATGCCTTACTGTTACAAATGATTGAGTTTTGGGGTAGTTTGTTATGCAGCATTATTAGGGGTGACTGATACAGATGCACAGCCATTGTGGGAACCTCTGGACATTTCAAAGTTCTAACTCCTCAACCTGGTATTCAAGACCTTCTATGACCTGGCTATTCTGTGTTCTCTGTCCACTCCCTAGTCTCATCCTAGGTTCCAGCCACAATGATCAAACTGAACAATGTTCTTTTTACATCAGCATGCCTTTGCACATGCTGTTCCACCTTTGCCCCCTGTCTCTCATTATTTTCTGTAGCACACCCATTCCTCACTTACTGACATGGTTAGGTTCCAGAGACCAGGCCATTATGCGAAAATTGGCGTTATACAGGTCTGCTCCAACCCCTTCCTCCTTTTCACTCCTGTCCCCCTCCTTCTCTCCCCTTACTCTCAATTTCTCCCCAGCCCCTCTCCCTCCTTCCTTCTATTCCCTCTGGTCTCCTCCTCCCTCCACTCTCCAGCAGGCTGGGTCAGGAGCTAGCTGGAGCACAGAGGGGCTGGTGCCAGAGCACAGCTATGTGGAGTCGGATGGGTCAGCTGCACTGGAAGGACCTAAGCGCAGTAGGTGCAGGCTCGGGGTGGGACTGCATGGGAGCACTGAGCCAGGGGTCATTCCCAGATGGGCTGCCAGCCCTCCTGGCTTGATCCGCCGCTCGGCACTGCCTGGAGCTGGGAGCCGCCATGAGCCACTGGGAGCTGGGCACCTGCACCCCCCACCAGAAGGTAAGTCCCAGGAGCCCAGGGTGCTTCTCCTGTGCAGGCTGGGGCTGGTATAGGAGGAGACCCATGAGGGGGGTGTGTGTGTGTGTGTGACACCATGAGTTACCACACTGGGTGACACCAACCCTAGTGATGCCACTGCAGCCAGAGTTACTCTTGCCTCACAACTCGGTGTTGGTTACTGCCAGACATATGTCGTTAGTGCACAAAATAGTTGGATAACAGATTTCTTACTATTGTGGTAAATGTGAAACGTCATATAATGAGATAGTCAATAAGTGAGGAGTAGGTGAACTTCCTTTAAGACTTGTTCAAGTGCCACTACTCGGCACACTAAGAACATTATTAAGTGCTCACTCCTCAGTACCCAGAAAACCAATGACAGACTGGAAGGCATAGAGTGTAGGCTCTGAAATCAGTCTGCCTGTGTTTGGGCCTCATTTCTATCATTTACCAGCCGTGTTACTTAGGGCAAGTTACTTTGAGCCTCAGTTTCCTCACTACTTACCTCATAGCTTTGTACTAACAAGGATAAATGAAATAATGTAAAGTGTTCACCACAGAGCCTGGCACATAGTAAAAGTTAAATAGCATCTTATCTTCCTGGTCCAGCACAGGGCTAGGCCCAGAGCAGGGACTCAGTCCACGCTGATCATGTCAATGAAAGAAACAGGTATTCTGTTTTAATTTTTCTCACTCAGACATGTACAAACAATCCACCAGGTCAGATACATAAACCAATACTCCATCTGTTGGCAATAGTACCTGCTTCTCTATGAGTCTAAGGGTGTCCTCCGAAGTCTTGTCCTTTGATTTCTTCAGCTTATTCATTGCGTTGGTACGAATCTTCCTTAAGGAGTCTTTGGCCTTGTTGGTGTTCTGTTTGGCCAGTTTCACCAGCATCTCCCTGTGCTCCCTCGTTACTCTAATAAAAGACAAAAAGAACATTCAGTAAAATCATCCTATACACTAACTGCTGCAAGGAATTTAACATCACTGTCTGCTAACTCAGCATTCTTGACAAGTGACCGTGGGCATACTCAGGGTCAAGTACAGTTCCTGTGAGTCAGCTGAGGAGAACCAGTAAAAGTATTGCTTAAAAGTATGAGACAGGGAGGCATGGGGTCAAATTCTGGCTATGCCACTTACTAGCTGCATAACTGACTCTCTCCAGGCCTCAGGGTTACCATCTGTATAACGAGGATTTTATCAGTATCTGTCTTAGTGTGGGTGGTGTGAGGATTAAATGAGATGATGCACATAAATTGCTTTTCAATGATTCTGGCACATTTTAAGTGGTCAACAAAAGAAGGCAATTATTAGCTATGACTCCACCCCTTTCTCTCCCACTAAAGAAAGCAATGCAAATGAGTTATGCTATAGAAATAGCATCATCTCTAAATCACACAAAACAAGTAATTAACAACCTTCAGAATCTTAAGGATTATCACCACAAATTACTGGTGAATCACCTCAAAAGCCAAGATACTACACGAATCCCAATATCACATGTCAGAACCAATGCACCAGTTAACTTCCATAAAGTATCCATCATGGTGTTTGGCACACTGTAAATGCTTAATAAATGGCAGTTATGTTTACAATTAACATTCTTATCATAATAACAACAATGAGCACATTGAGGGCCTACCATAAACCAAATACTCAGATAGGCACTTTGTATGTTGATCCTTGCAACAACCCTATGAGGCAGTTATTATCATTCCTATTTTACATTTAATCACAACAACCTAGCAAAGTAGCCTGGCATATTTGCTCTGCCTTCCCTTCTTCATCATTTGCAAATTGAGTAGGTACTACATGTCAAAACTAGTGTTGGACACTGAGGGTACTCAATGAGCACGACAGGCTTTTGTCCTGCTCTTAGGGATCTGAGCTGGGGAGAGTGACAAGTAAAGAAACAGCTGCAAGAGAGTGTAAGAAGTGCTATCGCAAGGAAACTGAGGAAGTAAAAGGTGCCACAGAAACACAGAAGAAGGGCACTTGATTCCGAGTTTGGGGAAGGGGCAGTAAGGGAAGACTTCCTTGAAGAAATGCTATCTAAATGTGGTAGTCATTAGGTCTGTCCACTAGTATTCTGGTTCTTATTCAGGCACATAGCAGGAATGTACTTCTCCATCCCCTTTGAAGTTAGATGTGGATGTAAAATGTGAGCAAAATGATGGGTGTCACTTCAGGGCAAAAGCTTTAAAAGCCAGTGTATACTCCACTACATTTGCTTCCCGTGGCCTCAGTACAAGCTGAGATGAAGCTTCTATCAGCTTGAGTCCTAGAATGACTATGATGAACAGCACCCATTATGCATCATGAGCAAGAAATAAACTTTTGTTGTTGTAAACCACTGAGATTTTGGGGTTGTTTGTTACTGCAACACAGCCCATCCTATCCTGACTAATACACCAAACTAGCATCTGAAGAATGAGTGCAAGTTGTCATTTTTCAATTGGCAAATTGCCAATCGGCGGGGGGGTATGTGCAGGCAAAGGAAAGAGCATGTACAAAGGCTTAAGCTGCAAAGACACCACATTTCATTTGAAAAATAAGGTGGCGCACAGATAACAATGAAGAGAGTGATAAGAAAAGAGGCTGGAAGCCTTATCATGGAGGGTCTTATAAGATCATGAACCCCATTTTACAGAAAAAATGAGGCCCAAAGAAGTCCAGTATCTTATATAAAGTCAAACCCTGTCTCAAAAACCATTGATCTTAGCATGACAAAATTCCTCTGCCCCTTGGGTTCTGAAATGGACATCACTGGTGTATGCTTCCTGACCCTCAAATCTCCTTGGTTCTTGCTGCCTAAGGACAATTCCAAGTTCTGGGTACGTGTTCAGTGTTGTATTAAAGATTCAGCGGCATCTATCTAATATTTCTCCCTGATAGAATGAAAAAAATTTTTTTTTAGTTTTAAAAAAGGATAAGCTCTGAAGACAAAGTGGACAGCTGTGTTATAAATAAATCTTTCTGGATTCAGCTATTTGAAGATACTCTCAAAATAAAAATGATACTGATTACTACCATTATCAGCCCCTCGATGTAAGGTAGGTAAGGTCACTGGGTAGCGCACTTGACTACTAATCTGAAGGCTGGCAGTTCGAACCCATCCAACAGTGTTGCAGAAGAAAGGCCTGGTGATCTGCTATAACAATTATAGCCAAGAAAACTCTATGGGGCAGTTCTACTCTGTAAAACATGGGGTCTCCATCAGTCAAAACTGACTCAAAGGCAACAGGTTTGGCTTTTTTATTTAAAGTGGGAACTTTAAGTATGCTACCTCATAGATCCTCACAAGCAACTCTTCAAACTAGATTCTAATACCCCTATTTTCCATGAGAAAATTGAGGCTCACAGACGTTAAGTGACTTGCCCACAGGCTTGAGTAGCAGCACAGGGATACAAACCCAGATATTTCTGGCCTGTATTCTTTTCACTACTCCATGCTGTCTACCCCTTGTAATCTATTTCAATAAATCATGCACTGCTGCCATTACTTCTGCTTCCAGGCAGAAAGCTTTTTAAAGGCAGTAATATGAATCTTGGGACTGAAAAGGACAAAACCACCATGTCAGGAGTTTAGGGATTTGGATCAGATCTTGTTACTTTTATGGTTTTTAATTCATTGAACAAAAATCATGCTGACATGTTTAGGTCTCTTTTTTGTTCTGCCAAAGCATATGTCAGTGTAAGGAAGGAACAGGAAAATTAAAACTTGATCCACTGATTCAAAAAACTTAATCCTGCTGAAATACTAGGAGGAGCAGAAAATAAAATGACTCTAAGTCTGTCAGAAACCTCTTAAACTTCTCTAAAAAGACCCTACTAAAGTATTTCAATCTTGTATTTCATATATAGTTTGAAATAGGTATCCTACTGTTTAGACAACCTTTAATAAAAGAAAAAAATTTATCTAATCAACTTCCTTTTCACTACATTGTTATATTTTAAATGGAAGGAATAAACCATACAGGCAGTCCCCAGATTATGAAAGAGTTCAGTTCCCACATCTGTCTTTAAGTCAATTTTATATGTAAGTCAGAACAGTTAGGTACAGTTTGTGTCTAATGTAAGTTAGTCAAATGTTTGCCTTAGTATATAGTGTACTTTTCTATGCTTAAAAAGCATTAAAGAAACACTTCTAGATACACTAAAACATCTTTAATGTAATAATATAATAATGTTTTAATGTATGATGCAAAGTAACACCCATTTGTTATTACGAACCCTTGTGTGTACCTCCAATTTTTAATGTAACAGGCTTTACGGGGGGGTTGGTTTGCAACTAAGGGTTGTACGTAAGTCGGACGTTTGTAATCTGGGGACTGCTTGTACATTTTAAATATAAACCGAGACTCAAAAAAAATCTTAGAGCAAAAGGCTGTATAAAGAAAACAAAATCATAATACGTGTAATTTGGCCTTAATAAAATGTATTACTTTGTATTTACTAATATGACTTTACTATACAAACACCCAAAAGTATCCATATATAATAATGTCCAATTATTATTGACACTGACAAAAATATTAGTTTCAGGCTGTAAATACACAGGCAATGATCAAAAGGATACTATAAGGAAATGAGGAGGAGGGTTCAGTGAGGAGGGTGATAGAAGAGAGAAGTGGGAAGGGATACCGGGCACAGGAAAGCATAAGAGGAATAAAGGTATATGTGTATTGGTTTGGGGTATTGAACTGAACGTTATCTAACACACACGATCAGAAGCACTGTAGGATGACGGAAAGGCACTGGTTTTCCAGTCAGACATACCTGTTTGATTCTCATATCTGTCACTCAGAAGCTGACTAATCTTGAGGAAACTACTTAATCTCTGTGAGCCTCAGCTTCCTTACCTCTAAAATGAAGATAATAAAGACACCTTACAGAGTCATTGGGAGTAGTAGACATAACATATGTAAAGTACCAATAAACAGAGCAGCACATAGTAGTCTTGAATAAATGAGAGCGTTTATGAATGTTTTAATGAACACACTTAATTACTTCCTCATGAAACAATGAGGGCACATCTGTTTTAGAAAAGAAACATACTATATTATGGAAATATTTTAATTCCTTTCCAAACCAGTGATTAATATACCTGATCGTCTCCATTTCACATTCATGTGATGCTGTGTGTATATGACAGAGTTTGTATTTTAGGCTTCCAGACTCAGCCAGTTGGTTCTGAGCACCCACTCTGTACTCATCAAGCACTGGCTGAACACCCTGTGCTCCCTGCCACATCCTGGGCCAGTCTGAGGAGCCACAGAGAGGAGGTAGGCCTGGTTCAACTTCTCCAGAGGCTCATTCCAGTGGTGGAGACAAACTTGCTGATCACTGCTTAGAAAGAGTATGACTACTGCTAGGACACAGGGACAGACCTTGTATAGGAGGAACACAGAGAAAGTACAACTCATCCTGCCTTGAGATCTGGAAAATGCCTTAGAGATGCATTACAACTAGTCAGCTGCAGAAGACAGGAAAGGGCATTTTCGGCAGAAGCATGATGGGAGATGTAATGGTGGAAGAGGATGAGGATGAAAAGAGTGCATCAGAGTCAAATTTGTTCTGCAGGCCTAGAGTTTTCAAATTCTTCTCTAGCAAAAAAACTCTGGCTTCAAAGAAAACCAAGGCAGATGCCCCATTTATAAAACAGATAAAAAGACAGCTATACCAGTTGATACAAGAGAAGGGAACAGGGGAGGGGATGGTGTTCTATCCCAGGCTACACAGCTCAGATCCACTCCCACTCCCCTCCACTTCTGGGTCTCCCACTTACTGGCTGGATAACCTTGAGCAAGTTACTTAAACTCTCTGAGGCTTGGTCTGTTGTTGTTGTTGTTAGGTACTGTCAAGTTGGTTCCAACTCATAGCGATCCTATGTACAACAGAATAAAACACCACCTG